TGGTTATGATGTGAGGAGTCCCATGGTTAAGAGTCAAACCGTGTTCAAATGGGTGACAAATACATTGGTCCACAGGGCAATTTTTTGATGGAAATCATCAACGGAAGAGAGTCTCAATCATTGAATTCCTGTCCAAAGATAACAGAAATGCTATCATAAATGTAGAAGTAGGAATTTCTGCTTTAGCGATATCTGTGAAGAGGGTCCTGGGAAATCCAGGTAATTGTCAAACCGTATTGAAAAAAAAAAAAAAAAAAGCAAGAAGAAGAAATATGTTCGAATGGGTGAGGTGCGGTAGCAGAGGAATGAACAATATGATAGTAAAAACATGTTTTTGCAAATGGTTTATGACAAAAGCTATAAAATGCATAAACGTTGTTTTGATGCTCGGAATGTCTCCTTAATTCTTTGATATTTAAACGAGATTAAGATATCCGCATATCCGCATTTCATTCAATGATTTAAAATGTTTTGCTGAACTGACAATTTTTTTACATTTTTTTTTATGTATAATTTTTTTTCAAAGCAATTTTTCCAAACTTTTGAAAATGCACGTCCGTTATGCTGTTTTCCGGTCCCTCTGGATACTGCTGAAGAAACTGGTGTCTCTAATGTGACCTCTTCAGCTTTAATTGTCTAGGACAGAATGGTTTTGTGTAGGAACCGGAATCTACTTTAGACAAGCGATATTATGAAGAAGCTTATTATAAGACATGCAAAGAGGTTCTTTACTCGTCGGTGGTAACAATGTTAGGAAATAAAAGTTCTGGATGGAGGAAGTGAAGGTGTGGAAAGTCTTCATTAGTGTGTGTATAACTAGCAGGCGTGGGAGCGGATTATTTTATCAAGGGTGAAATGAATGCTACAATATGTGAGAAAAGGAAATTGAGGGTCTTCATGGGTTGCATAAAGCAGCCCTGGAAATGTTGAGGGTGTGTTTGGGAACTGAAGTCATCGTGTGGGATAGGAAGGGAGAAACCGCAAAATGTATTTATTTATTTTTTTGTCAGTGAAAGAGAAAGTGTTTAGTGAGTGTTTGAATTAATCTAGATGGCTTCAACTGACGTAGTTGTTTGCTAAGTCCAAAAAACGCAGTGTGTTCATGCTAGCCTGAGCTCCGTCAGACCATGTCTTTATAATTGTTATTCTGGCCAGTGTTCTATCAACCATTGAATGATGAGGATTGTAGTGATACAATGACTCACAAGACAATACTATGATATTGAAGTACTCTCTAAGTTATATAAACACTACATTGAGCTGTTGCAGTCTGGTTGCAGTCTTCTGTTCTATGTCAAACTGTTTGACAAATTAGATTTTACGTAATCAGGGCTTTCGCTGACACTCTGACCGCCCCATATTCAGTCCTAGTCTGCCACTCAGCCAATGATTGCCACAAAAATACAAAAAATTAACACTTTTTTTCTTTTTCTTTTTTTAAAGAACGTTTTAGTGTTTATTAATTGGCAGGCGTTATGTGGGCAGATTTGTTCCCCCCTAGTTAAAGGGGCACATTCACATTCTGGGATTTTTTTATGTTATGTTTACTTATCTGTATTTAACAAGTGTTAGTTTTGTGAGATCTGAGAAATAAAATGAAATTTAGAAATGTGTTTTTCATTTGTTTTCCTCTATTTTGGACATGAGTGCCTCCATCTTGGCTTTCTGTCCGTCATCAAGTTCTGCTATTTTCTGCAATTGAGAATATTATCTGGAGAAGCAGAAATTGTGTTTGTTTATCGTCCTTCAATGCAATGTTTGTCATGACTGTGTCAGGGCTGGATTGGAGTGATGTCAGTTTCTAATTCTCTAATACACATGTATAATTAAAAAATACAGCATCACATGTTGGCACAAGGCAAACATGATTTTCACTGTTTTAATTTCCAGACGTTAAGTAACAGATTAAACTTCAATGAACCACATAAAAAGTTAAACGTTTTTGGAATCAAAGTGTAATTTAATATCTAGTATGATTAATAGTCTGCTTGTCTGCAATGCCTTTTCCTGTGCAAATCAATGTTATCTACAGGCAATCTCATTGCTCACACGATTATGAGAACCCTTCAGTGCCTGCTTAAAATGGCTGCTGCTGTTAACTCAGAAAACAGGTAAGAGGGGTATGGAGTTAGGCTTGGGGTACGCTTTAGGTGTAGGGTTACCATAGATTTTGTATTTTATAGTTAAGGGTTGGGATAGCATTAGATTGACTTAGAGTTCGGAATAAGGTAAATTTAACGGCACCGCCAGGCATAAAAGGGGTTAAACCACCGTTTAGTAGATCTTCCCTTCCAGAGACACAGGCACAGCTACTGCAGAACCCCAAACTCCCGAACAGGATACCAAGTAGCACTCCAAACTCCCAAACTGGAACCTCACGAATAGCTGCTAGCAGCTGAACAGGAAAAGCACCCAAGCGGCTTACATTCCTGGCAATCAGTCTCTAACAGCATACAGTAAATCCCCCCAAGAACGAGACAAAGCTCCGTGTTGAGGGTCAAGCAGTGAACAGACAGAGCTGTGGGTTTATTGTTCTTATATACACCTTAGTACCACCCACAGGGTTTTGGAACACAACCAATAAACACATACAATACACTCAGACACTCCCACACAAAATCCTCCCCTCTGACTGTGATACAATTACCTTACACAATGGGTAATGTAATTATCACAAGCAGAGAAATACAATTTTTCCACATTATTCATAACTTGAAAAGTATGCATCACATTCACATAAAACTTACATTCAGAATCAGCATACTCCAAATACAAACATATGTCAAAATCATCCAAATTGGTCCAGTGGTTCAAAAGATAGATTGTAGTCCTTTGTGACCAAAGGAAGCATGGCTTTTCTGCCCAAAACCAGTTCCACAGAGTCTTCTATCCTGGAGATAATTGGGAAGTAATCCAATTATCTTCAAGGACAGAAGCAAAACTCCATTGAACACATGGCAGCAAAAGACAATAAAACACATAAAAACATATAACTGTGCAGCCATTGCACAAAACAGGTACATTCATATTCATATCCCAAGATAGCTCAGATCTGAGCGCACATTATTACTGAATGGCGCTCAGAGCACACACATACAGTTCAATTGCCATGGAGCCAAAGTCTTTTATTACACGAATAGGCTCCATGGCATAGCTATCTGGGTTAAATGAGTTCATTCAGTAAATCCGAGAATCTACCGAACGCCAGGGCAGAAATACAGGAACAGACCTTTCTGCATAGGAAAATAAAGTATTTAAATGCCGGTCCATAGTCAAAAGGCAGCAGGCAGGCAACCAGGCTCCTCCAATGCACAGTGGCGAGATTGGTCTCGTCACAGTAAATATTAAGGGTTATGATGAGGTACGGTTAGAGTGACTTGGGCTAAAAATAATTGTTAGAGTTGGTGTTGCATTAGAGGGACTTTTGGTTTAAGTGAAATGTAGTTTTCCAGGGATCTGGTTTAAAAGGGGTATTTTTCCTTCCATGTGCTTCTGTAGCTATCATAATCCTCAAAGTACAGATTCCATCTACCCCTAGGTGTGTCTACAGTTATATCATTGAGTAGACTGCTGTACCCCATGCAATCTTTTATATGTAAACTATAGGTGTCGCGAGCGGGGATAACTGCCCTCTAGATAATTTATCTCCCTCACCTCACGTCCGACAAACTTGTGACTTGCCACCAAGTCCAGCGCTACCACAAGGCATGTGAATAAATATTTATACATATTAGATATAGCTATTTAGTGTTACGATTTAGTGTTGGAGATGATTAGTGCCCCCCCACTCCAGTTTTGACTGTGGTATCTTATGCCCCTTTCCCAATATATTGTGCTCAGAATCGCCACTGATGTAACAACTTTTTTTTTTCTCCATTACTTAAGCATATCAATTCCTTAGGATAGGGCAGTACTACTTTTCAAAATTACCCAAACTGCAATCTCTAACTAAAAATCTCCATCATCAGTGAAGGGCTTAGCAGACGTAAGTAAAGTAAAATAAAATGTGACTTAAAGCATGACTTTCGTAGATGCAGAATTGCAGAAGAGATGGTTAACTGACATTGTAACTGCCTCCAACAACTCTGACTACTCTCGGCCGTCATCCAGCTGGCTAAAAAATCCAAGCAGTTGTGTTCTAACATCGATGATGTCCCAGCGATTGTTTATCCCGGGCAACATGTGAAATTGCATTTAGGAAATGACTTGTTTATTTGTTTTTGTCATCTTTCAGAAAAGTTATTTTTAGGCTTTCATGGGAAATCTTTCTTGTTTATTCAAGGCTTGGTTGTTTGTTTTCCCCCCAAATATATCTTAGAATGATGAGAGAACCAATTAGTTGCAGCTGTCTTATGT